CTGTTTGAATGTCCAGTTTGTATGCTTTGATACTGTGACTTGAGCAAATATCTCTAAGATGATGTGTAATCTATTAACTGGTGATTTCTTACTGTTTTTTTTTTTTTTGTAGTTCTGTATTACTTGTACTCTTACACTGCTTACACTGCTTTGTTTTGTTTTGTTTTTTTCTCTTTTTCCTTTTAAATAAAATTTAAAAAAAAAAAGAAAGAAAGAAAAAAAGGAAGTGTGCCTAAACAAAACTGATCAGGCACAGCATTATCTTGTACATTATTCTCATGGTTCATCCAACTGCCCAATTTTTAAACAGAACTTCACTGTGTTCTCAAGTAAGTTACCTAATTTGGAACATGGTATTAGTTTGAAGCAAAGAAAAAAGCATGTTTTTCAGGAAGAACTTTTGCTACAGAAAGTTTCTCTTTTCTTTTAAGAAAGTTTTTTTGAAAGTCAGTAAATTATCAGCCCTCTTGAGAATAAAAATGTATTCTACCCCATGACTGAGGACCCGTGCCTGCTGTTGTTGTTTAGACAGCGGTTCACTTAGCCATTCATGGCTGCTTCCCAGTCTCCTTCATGCTCTTCGCTATGCGCTGTAAGAATCGGGCATGTTCCATATTCACTTAGTTGTCTGGCAGCTCATTTCATTTCTGTTGTTGCTAATAAGTCTTTATACTGCAGGATGTTGACAAGTGTTTACAAACTGGCTCTTTGGAAAAAAGAAAGAGAGCACAGATCCCTACCATTTGTTTATTTCTGTGTGGTGGAGAAACTCCCATCATGGTTGATTTCAAGCTGACAGGAAGAATGTCTGCACTGGAACTTGGATGTGGGAAGAGGCAATGGATTACCTGCTCTCAGACCACAGCAAGAGATTACTTTTAGAGGACCTGGTCTCATAGTGCAGTCGCTGGAAAATAACGCCACCCGCGAACTTGTCAGAAATACAAATTCTCAGTGCCAAAAAGATCTACTGAATCAGAAACCAGAAGCGTGGCACAGCACGTTTGCTCTATGCTCTGCCTACCTGCCTGGGGCAGGGAACTATCCACAACTGTAAAAGAAGCCACAGCCTTCTACTAGGATGTAAGACAAAATAAGCCAATATGCACGCAACTTCAGTTCCGGTGCTGAAAGAATAATTAGTACATTTCGCAGTTTTTAAAATACACTTAAAACTGTGTTTGATTAATGTCCTATTTTTTAAAATAGTATCTTAGTTTCCAAATAAGTTATCTGGTTTGGAAAGGACATTAATTTGAAACTAAAGAGGCATATATCTTAATTAAAAAGTATCCATTTGTCTGAAAAAGTCACTTTGAAGAACAAATTATCACTGCAAATATGATTCCACTAAATAATATTTCTCATGCTGATCTATTCTAAACAAGAACTAGTACCTAAAAAAGAAATTTGAACTAAAAATATCCAATTGAAATAATGAATTAATATCTGATTACTTTCCCCCAATTTACCAGATTTCATTTTACTAAATAAAATTTAAGTTTTAAAATTAATTAGGACTTGATACACTACATGGATGTATAAAGTTACAGCACAATCAATAATGCATAATTTATAGAACTGCTTCATCAAAGAGAATTTTTAAAATATGAAATCATGGCAATGAAATTGACTTTAAACTGGACAAGTTTTGTGCAATAAAAATGTGTAAAATATTCTCTTTGAAAACGTCAATATGGTGGTGTATTGATAAAGCTAAATAAATTGGAAACAAATCATGATTTAAAATTTTAATTTAATCACACTACTAAGTAACTTTTGGGAAACCTGATTGCAATATTGCTATTGATGAAATTTACTATGACAGAGACGTGTTACCTTTCACCCAGGATTTTACACACTACAAAGACTGAGCAGGGTTAGATGCCCTGACATTTTCTGACATTTGGACAGAAGTCACAAAATTAGCCTGAGCAGAGTTGAGACTTGAGATAAATGGCAAACTGCAGGTGAGAAAAGAACAAGAGTCAGAGTAAATCCAGTCCACCCGTGACTTGAGGATGCCTTTTCACGACTTGAGAATGTAATGGGAACAAGCATTTTTATGAGGTAAATGAAAAGAACTCAGTTTTAAATATTCTGAATTTTAAATATTCTGAATTTCATGTACTGTTCTGAAAGTTTTACATAACAAATAATAAAATGCATCAAATAATAAAATTTTCACTGCAATCCCTCAAATATGATACTGTTTTATTATTTCCATTTACCAGCTGAGGGCCTGAGGGCTGATGCAATTTGCCCCAGACACACAGCGCTGGGACTTAGATCAAGGAAAATCATCTTACAGCATTGGCTCTTTTCTATTAGTTCATTTATTTATCTATCTGTTGTGAGCAGTAGCGACATTAAAGTGGTCCAAAATCAAAATGATACCAAGTGGTAATTATGCAGAATCCTTGCTTCTAATGCTTTTCTTCTTCTCCATACCTGGTTCTTCTTTATGAAATTACATGGAAATATGAATTGTTAGATTTGTTTATCCACCTTTGATACTGTTTAGCTTTACTTATTTTTCTTTTTAACTGAGAAATGTACTTTTGTACAATATTATACATAAACTTTTCCCCTCATTCCTTTGCCTCTATCCTCTCCTTCTTTCTTTCCCTTCTCCTTTCTTATTTCTTTAATTTTTTGTTAGTATATTAATAGCTACTGTAATACAATATGTTACCAACATAAATTCATATTATGTTATAGAAATCTGCCTATCTGAATTCTGGGTAATGATGGTCTCCTTTTACTAAAAAGTAATGCAATAACTTTCCCCAAATGTTGTGTCTTATATAAGGCAAAAATTAATGTTGTTTGCCCTGAGCCTCATTAAATATACCTTTGTTAGAAGATTTTCCAGCAGAAACATGAACTTTTCATTTCATAACATAGACGATGCAACTCAACACGCTTTTTATGAACATCACAGGGAGGGTATGCAGTTTTTGTTAGGCAAAAATGGAAGTGAAAATAAACCACCTCAAAACCAGTTCCCCATTTGGTATAATCATTTAAGTTTCTACAATTTATGTATAAATATCTTCACTGTATTTCAGCTTTCACAAGCCAACCCACAAACCTTCAGCATGGTTTCTGGGAACTTAATGCTACTTCATTATCATCAAGATATAAAAATGAACCACAGATTTATGAAATCTTTTTATGGGCTGAAATACATCAAGCCTATATAATTTAAGGCCTACTAATGCCAAAAGTGTTGGCACTAGTCCATAACCATTTGGAGATTAAATAACTATTGTGTTACACTTGGAGACCAATGATTATATGTTTGTTTCCATATTCTGAAAGTCCAGTGCAGACTAGTTCACCACAGTTGGATTTATCAAATTCCATTCATGGCTACGATTGCATCTATATTCCTAGACCAACTTATAAAGGGTCCAGTAAGAAGTTAAGACTTTGGAAAAACGTTAACACATGCAAGAATGATGTAAGTGAGATGCAGGTCACTAGTTTCAATTTAGGTCAATATCAACATCTGGTCACTTGCCACTGTGTTTGGCCTACAGGTATGTTTTTACACATATATGGTATCAAAAAACTAACCATGAATCAGTATTTAAAAGAAAGAAAGCAGTTTGGAGAAGCCTGGGCTCATATTTCCACATGGAAGCCTTGTGGGAGATCTGAGTCTTTATTTGATCAAGATTTGCTTTGCGTTGGCTGCAGTCAGAACCACTTCTGTTACATTGCGTGTGTCAAGGCCACTTATCTGACCACTAAAAGACTACTTATCTGAAAAGTTAAATCTCTTAAAGGATAAAAAAGTAAGAGCATATTATTTTTTCCTTGTCCTTGTCTCACCTAATTCATTGAAGATTCATCCTGGAGAGAGGACTGGTGTTGATGCTAAGACTATCAGAAACCCTGCTGCTAAAGTTTCCAATGTCCTCCAATGTTCATGTCCTGGAAAACTGATCCTCACACAGCAAGGCTGACCAGCAGGACTTTAAGAAGTAGTTTGACTATTATTTTTTTTTGAAGTCCTTTAAGGTCTCCAGTGTAGGTTTTATTGGCCTTGTTCTGTACTGTTTTGATCAATTCTATTATATCTGATGATATAGGCAACTCAATTTACAAATAGCAAGAGGCACAATGGTAACCACTTTTGATCACCTGGTATTCTATTTTTGTATCATGTACTGTGCCCATCCTTCTGTTCTAACTGACTCTGTTTTGCTTGGTCACGTTTGGTTTTATTCTCTTCAAAACAAGTAATAAGAACTGTGGGAGTAATAAAACCCAAAAAGTGTAATTGTTATTGTAAAAAAGAGAGGAAAGGAAGGTGGACTAAAGGATATAACCACAGGTATGTTTGAGTGTGTAGGATGGAAGACCATATTACTGAGCTTTTGTTGCATCACTGAACGAAACTGTCTCCAATATCACTGCATGAATGTCCACTTTTATAATTTGGACAACTGTTTCTAAGAAGACAATATGTAACCTATTAACTAGTGATTTATTACTGTATATTTTTTTCTTGAAATTCTGTATTACTTGTACCCTTTTACTGCTTTGTTTTATGTCCTTTCTTTTTTTCTCTTTAAATTAAAAACAAAAGTGAGTAGGTCACAGGGCTCTGAATGCACTGATGCTGGTATTGAGAGACTGGCTAGTTATTATGGGAATGCGTTCTGGATAAAAGACTAAGTTTGGCACCTTTTTTGCCTTTCTGCCTTGTACTGTGGGTTGGTGTAGCTAGACACTCGTGTTAGCTGTGTACTTCTTAACCTTAGACTTCCCAGCCTCTGGAACTGTAAGACATAATCAATTAAATTTTTCTTCCTTATAACTCAATATGACTCAATATGAAGTGTTGTGTCACAGCAGCACAAAGCAGACTAAGACATCTGCTATAGCCAAATTATTCTCTCCCCTTTCCATTATGAAATTATAGAGAAGCAGCAGTTCCTCATTAAGCAATATTTTTTCACCTTTACAAGTAACTGAGAGATCTTCACCTGTAAATGGCAGAAGCTGGGTGAGAGCCAGTGTCATAGCTGGCACGAACTCGCCCTCGGTACAGCTCCACGGCAATGTGGTCTTTGTCACCTTTATAAAGGAGGATGCCGCTGTCTTCGTCGGTGGCAATCTGGTAAAAAGAAGCCTTGATGTTACTGGGGTGCACAGCAACCAAACACACTATGTCAAGAAGAACAGACTGATAAGTACAACAAGGAGTTTTTACTCTGGCTTATTTTTTTCCTTTATGGCCATGAGAAAATATTGCACTCTGAAAATCCTGCTTGAAGGGCAGATAACCCTATTGTAAAAAAGACTCATAAAAAATTGAAGAAGAGCAAAAATTATTTAAGTGAACATGTTGGATATGCTAAGAGCTTTCTCTGCTGGAGGTTTTTCACTACTGTTCTCTGCTCCTGTTGTGATCTTACCTTTGGGATGTACTAAATGTAACTACATGGAGCAGGTTTGATTTTCACATCCTACATTAAAATTTCTCATAGTGATGCCACACGCAGTAGGAAAAACTTGTTTTAATCCTGCTTTCTTCCTTTTTAAAGGACAAGTTATGTGAAAGTAAGAATTTAACCCTCTACGCTGCTCTGCATACGTCCTGAAAATATCCAATATGAAAAACACTGAAAGTGGAAGACAGATTTTTTTTAAGGAAGGATTGCTTATCTCAAAGGGACCCATTGCTCTGGATTTCAAAGCAAGCCTCGCCCCTCACTGGAATGTCAACAAAAGCAAATAAGAAGTCGGGGTAGCTACAGGAAACTGCTCGAAGTCATTTGAATTCAAAATATATTAAATGCTTGCTTACAGGTAAATAAGTAGCCACAATTCGTCCCATAGATGATACATGTATCATGCAGTATAATCACTTCCCAAGACCTTTGAGTATAACATTTTCCCAAGAGTATGAAAGACTTGTTTAAAGAGTGTCTAAGGATAAAGACTCAGAATTGAAGGTTGTGGATTTCAGGCGAATTCTGCAAGGTTCTGGATAAAAAGCAAACAGGTCCTGGCTGAATCTAGCCGCTCTCCCCTTCTGCCTCCTTTTAGCTGTGAGTCTCATTGGAAAAGACTCAGCAGCTCAACTGCAGAGCCATACACTGAATAGATAAAGATACTTATTCACTCAAACATGAAAAGGAGAGTCATGCTTTGTTGCTGTTTTTATTTTTCAACCTTAGCATCAGGTAATGAATAAAAATAGTACAGACCAAAATTACTGAAGTTTTTCACACAAGGAGAAGGTTCTGTGATTATGCTATGCAGTTATTAACTGATTACTTAAGGAATATTATCATGTACAAGCTACCCTACATGTTCATCCTCCCAAGCTGAATTTGGTCAGTGATCAGATTAGCCCTGGCATCACGGGTGCCTCTCACCTGAAGAGTGATGTTTGTCTGGGGCTGAACCTTGGTTGAAGGAATCTGAAGATAGGACTCTTTGTTCACAAAATTCACACTGACCAGTTTTTCACACTTCTCGCCCTGGTAGCCAGGCAAACACTGACACACTGGTTCGTTTATCCTGATGATGCACTGGGCTCCATTCTGACAATCAAAATTATCACAGGGGCTGGTCCGGGGAAGAACCATGGGTGGAGAAAACTCACAGAATAAGCCACTAAAGAATAAGGAAGGGGGGGGGGGAGGGAAACATGTTAGGTTTTATGAGATTTGAGTCCTGGAAGTCTTAATTCTTCGTATCAACGTGTGCTCCTGCTTTTACCTGTAACCTTCGGGGCAGATGCACGTATAGCCATTCACAGCATCTGTGCAGTGGGCACTGTTTTTACACTTGTTGTCTTGGCAATCATCAAAGTCAATGTCACAGTGCTCACCAATGTAGCCCGGTGTGCAGTCACACCTGTTTGAGTAAGCAAGTAAAATTTCACACACAACCCAAATCACAAAAACAGCTGACTTTCACTTAGAAGCAATGACATTAGCTGGAAGGAAAACTGATCAGAACTGTCCGCTCTGCAAATTAACAGCACTGGCTGCAAAGTATGGCCTGATTTCCATGGATCTGTCAAGGGATCAATGGCTTTGTCCCTTGGGTTTTGAGTTTCCTTTTGAAACAAGGGTCCACTGTCCAAATTTAATCTTTATTAATTTCACTTGACTGTTGGCATGGCTCAAGTATTTTGTTGTAAAACTTACTAAAAATACAAAGAACATTTTTTAAATGATTAAAATTTCAGTTTTCCTATGTGTCTAGATGTACTGGGACAAAACATAATTATAAGAAAACCAGATTCATTAATAGCAAATAAATTAAATCTCAGTGAATCTAAGTGATGGTTTTGTCAGCTCAAGACAGGCCTGATAGGCTGGAGTAGGGGATGTGACACAGAATTGCTGGTACCAATTCCAGGGCCAGCTTTTCAGGCAGATGCTTATACCACTGAACTAAACCCCCAGCCATCTGCCAGCTTTTCAGCAGTTCACTTTGGTCAGAAAGAGGCAGAGCAGGCGTGGCTGCGCTGATGATGACGAAGCTGGATAATGATGCCACTGACTTTACTTGAGCGCCTCCTCTGGGTCAGGCTCTATTTCAACCACTTGGCCTCTTCATTCTGTTTGATCTATAGCCTCTGATCAGACAATCACACCTGTACAGGTGAAGAAACTAAGTCAGAAAGAGGTGAAGCATCTTATCCAAGGATACTCAGTTCCTAAATATCTTAGGCAGGAATTGAACCCAGGCAATTTGACAAGGAAGCCTGGATTTTCCAGCTACTGCACAACTTTCAAGAGTCAGTGTCACAAGATTTTCTCTAAAACCTGCCCTTCTCTAATGCTGATCATTTCGCAAACTGTGCCATCAAGGATTCAAGACTATAATTGCCCAAGGAAAGCCAAAGCACTACATGTAGCAATTTTCAATACTGTAAGCCACACCCACCGCTTCGACAGTTTAAATTTCTTTTTATAGTTTAAATTATCTGTGGACAAAATATTAAATTGGAAATTACAGAAATGATCAATTATAAGTTTTTAATTGGGCTGCACTGTTAGTAATGAAATCTTGCTCTGCCCTGCTCCTTCCTGTCCTGAATGTGAATCACTCCTTGGTCCCGTGTATCCATGCTGTATAGGTTACCTATACAATAGTAACTCAGTAACTGTGCCTGCATGCTACAGTTTGGATGCAAAATATTTCCCAAAGTCTCATGTTCAAAGGTGGGGCCTGGTGGGAGGGAATGCTTCCCTGAATGTATGGCCTGGAAGAATGTTTTCCCTGTGAGTCCTTTCTTTTCCTTATTTTTTCTTCTCTCTTTTCTGCTCTTTGTCATGAGTTGAGGAGCTTTCCTCTACCAGGCCCTTCTACTACTGTGCTTCTGTCTTGGAGCCAACTGACCATGGGCTGACTTCTCTGAAAACTGTGAGCCAAAATATGCCTCTCCTCATTTAAGGTCCTAGTGTCATGAAATTTTGTGCAAGCAATGGGAAAGTGGTTAATAATACTATGTGTGCCTCATGTCATAGCCTAATATTATGTCACAGCACCTGTCTCATTCATTTGACATTAGATCCCCTACAAGCACTGCATCATCTCACATTAGTTCAAGAATATGATAAGAAAAATACTGAGATATTTTGAGAAAGAGATTACATACACATAACTTTATTGTGGTATACTGTTATAATTGTCCAATTTATTATTAGTTATTGTTAATCTCTTTCTAAGCACACTTTATAGATTCAAATTTATATAGGGAAAACATTTTACACACACACACACACACACACACACACACACACACACACATGCACACACACACATCCAGGCATTGGTATAGTATTTAGATATAATGCATGATCAATGAGTGATTTGTATTTTTTGTAATGGTATGCATGTCTATAATTTTATACCAGCCTTTATGGTTTATTCTGTACTAAATATTCATATCTATATATCTTCTTCCTACAGGGGTTTCAGGCATCCAGTGGAACTCGGGAGTTTCTTCCATGGATAAGTGTGCAACACTGTAAGTGCTACGAACCCGTGGGAAGGAATTGTGGATGTCCACAGGCACGGTCACAGGAGCAGAGGCTCAGTAAGCCTCTCTATATTCATTGTGCCCCATTCTCTCCTGTTGTGATATGTTTTTATACATTGGATTTCCATGAGTGTTTTTGCTTTGAATTTATGAGAGAGTGCATTGACTTTGAAAGGGCCATAAACCAGAAAATTGTGGTTTAGCGCCACAGAATAAGGATGCTGCAGTAATACAGAACTCTTTTTTATAATAAGGAGATTTTTTTGGTATAAAGAAAGACTTCTTCAGTAAGTGTTACTATTATTACTGTGGTTTTTGACTTTAACATATCATGTTTTCCCCTAGGTTTTAAAATCTTTTTTTTGGAAATGGGTTCAGTATGTAGTGATTGCATTATTCCAGAGGAGCTGGCACATGAACACGACACATTTGCATTCTTTTTCTGTCTTCTCCCTCTCTCTTCCCCTCCTTCCATTTCTTAGTTCTCTTCCCTTTTGCAAACTAAGGCATAATTAGCAAATAGAAATTTATTTTCAATATGTACAACAGGAGGTTTGATAAATACACACCCTGTTAAATGTTATCACAATGAAGATATATATGTGTTACTTCAATAGTTACCGTTTTTCCTTTTGTGGGAAAATAAATAAGATGCACTGTCTCAGTAAATGTTAAGCATGAAATACTGTGCTGTGGACCACAGTCACCAGGGCACACACATTACACCTTCTAAACCTCTCACTTTGTATCTGCTGTTTCGTACCCTGAAACCAAGAGCTCTCTGTTTTCCTTACAGTCACACCTTGGTAAGCAACATTTTACTTCCTTTTTCTACGAGAGTAAGTTTTAAAAATTCCACAACTGGACTTCCGGAAGGACATGGCACACAGATAGCAGCAGCTTCGGAGGCTCTCTGAGAAACCGCACTTAAAATCCAGGAATGGTGCCGGGCGAGAAATCCTAAGCAAGCAGAGATACACCCTGCCGACCCAGGAACGAACTAAACTAAGAGAAACCAACTGGAAACACAACCCCAGTGATATGACAGGAACAGATAAGTTCTCAGCGCGGAAGCTGGACCCCGCGCCACTGGAAGCTGTGATTTGAATTTCCTGCATCCGCTGCTGCGGTCCCAAATGGCGCAGCAAGGAGAGAGGCGCGAAAGCTCTGAGAGTGGGAAGCAGTGAATGGAGTTGAGAGCGGGACTGTCTAGGAGCCCTGTATCGACCTGCGGTGAGTGAGAGATTGGGGACCCTTCCATTAGAGTAGGAGGCTTCAGCAAAGGACATATTGGGACCGGGCAGACTAGCCAGAACAGGTTGTTGCAGTGACTTTAGTCACATATTCCCCTCTCAAGTGGGATTGGTGGGCAGTGCCTGGCCTGCGTGACGCCACTGACTAAGACCCAGTAGGCTAGCCCAAACCAAATCCCAGCGCCTGGAGGTACACTCTAGCACTGAAGTCTTCGGTAGGGTGACCTGGAGGGGCAGGCCCAGCATAGGCTGCCCAGGTCTGTGTCTCCTTAGTACACTGCAGTGGGCGGGAACACCTAGCCGGCGCAATTCAAACAAACTGTAACTGACAAAGAAAGAAACTGGGCCTCCTATATTCGCTCGTATAAAAGGAACAAAAAATATGGGAAGATGGAGCAACAAGAAAGGGTCCTTGGCCCCCAATCCTGAGAAACATGCAATATCAGACACAGCACCAACAGACATAAAGCACTATCTCCAGAGCCTCATAGACGAGTTCAGGAATGAAGTTATTAACGATCTGAAGCAAGATATAAGTAGAATAGTTAGAGAAATGCTGAACACCACCCAAGAAAAAACAGATGGTGGAATGGAAGAACAGAAAAAAAGGGGAGAATTGTTTGATGGAGAAAACAGAGAAAACATAGAATATGTGAAGCAGGTTCAAAGAGATTACCAGGAAACTAAAAACTTTGCTGAAAACTGGCATAACAGCTTGAAAGAAACTAAGGGTAGATTATCTGATTTGGAGGGCAGACCTGTAATATGGGAGCATGAAATGAAAAACTTCTTAAAAATAACAAAAAAACCAAACAGCAACAATACAAAGGCTAGAAGATGATAAGAGGATCTATAACTTAAGAATTAAGAACATAAAAGAAGAAGTAGGGACACAAACAAATGGACTACAAAAGCTATTCACAGAAATAATCCAAGAGAATTTCCCTAATTTAGCAAATGGTAAAGATACTCAGATGTATGAGGCATACAGGAACCCAGCCACCTACAACCCAAACAGAGCTAACCCAGGCATACAATAATCAAAATTCCAGAAATCCAATATAAGAACAGAATATTAAAAGCTGTCAGAGACAAGAAACATCACTTACAAGGGAACACCCAAGAGAATTACAGCAGACTTCTCGGCACAAACCATCAAATCATGAAGAGCGTGGGGGGAAATAATTCAAGCTTTGAAAGACAATAACCTCCAGCCAAGATTGATATATCCTGCACAACGGTCCCTAGAAATTGATGGAAAAGCCAGGTGCTCCCAGGGTAAAGAGGAACTAGGGGAATTTGCAACCACTAATCCAACTTTACAGAGAATACTGCAGGATAGTCTAAAAAAGGCAAATACCAAGATTCCAGAAATAGTGGCAGAGAGTCCACAATGAATTGAGCAGAAAGCGAAATGAAGAAGACAAACTGACAACAAATGACAGAAAAAGAGCTCAATAGAAATGAGGCAGAGAAGATAGAATGGTAGGAACAGCTATTTTGGAGAAAACAAGACATCATAATAGCTAGTGCTGATTTATTATCATCTTGTTTTGAAGTCCCATCAAACTTGTATTCTTCTGTCTCCATTGGTCTTAAAAGGTTGTATCTTATTGGATTTTATTATATATGATAATACAAGTAAAAACTTTTATAGACAAAGAGATTATACAGAAACCATTGTTCATTTTCTGTTAATTGGTTCTAAATACCCTGTAATACTGTCATTCTCTTGAATGGTTTTATAGTGTCTTGATATGTTTGGTGCTACAGTATATGAAGTTATACTCAAAGATATTAAGGGAAGAGACACTATGGTAACTATTTTTATGTCAGGATATCTTGTGGTGAAACACTATTTTGCTTAAATGTTTATGTTTTGACCTACGCTGTTCTGTTGTTATGCCCTCTTTTATCTCAATTCCCCTGCCCTTTTTAAATTATTTACTTTTTCCTTTTTATCTTTTTAATTAAGGGAAAAATAAAAAATAGCAGGATACATTATAGTAACCTACTTTGATTTCCTATTAACTTGATTTGAAAACCTGTATTGCCCTCACCATCTTGTTTTGACTGATTTTCCCCTATTCTGCTTTGCTTGATAGTACCAAGTTCGAAAGTATAGGCAAAACTGTGAAGACAATAGGATTCATTATGACATCCATTCCGGTTGACTATTATTTTCTTTTAAAGTCCTGTAATGTCTCCAAGGCTTTGGTTTTATTCTTTTTCTGTTTTGTTCAATTTTATTATAACTGGCAATTCTTCTTAAAATAGCAAGAGGCAGTATGGTAACCATTGTTGATCACCTTAAATTTTGTTTTTACATTATCTGTTATGTTCATCCTTTTGATTTGACTGACTCTGTTCTGATATGTCGCATTTGGTTTTACTCTCTTCAAAAAAAGTAGTAAGAACTGTGGGAGTAATAAAACCCAAAAGGTGTAATTGTCATTGTACAAATAGAAAAGAAAAGAAAGTGCTCTAAAGGTTATAACTGCATGTATGTTTAAGTGTATAAGATAGATAACCATATTACTGAGTTTTTTTGGATCATTGAACAAAACTGTTTGCACTCTCACTGTTTTAAAGTCCACTTTATATGCTTCAATTTTGTAACTTGAACAACTATTTCTAAGATGAGAATATGTAATCTACTAACTAGTGATTTCTTACTGTTTATTTTTTAAATTTTGTATTACTTGTGCCCTTTTTATGTTTTTTTCTTTTTCTCCTTAAAATAAAAAAAATTCCACAACTATGTGAGGTCATGTGGTATATTTTTTCTGTATCAGACTTATTTCATTGAACATAAAGTGTTGTCTTGATTATATTACTTATTCTCAAGTGTTCCTGTGATGATTTGTTCTAGGCACATGATAATTTCCATTTCAAAAATGTTAAAAAATATTCAATAAAAACACTGTGATAAAAAGCATTTGTATAGTATTTAGATACAAGACATAACCAGTAAGTGGTTTTGTATTTTTTGAAATTCTATATATGTCTATAGTCTTGTAAAAATCTGTATGGTTTATTTTGTACTAATTATCCACTTAGTATATTTTAAAAATAATAGAATTTAAGTAAGGACAATTAAAAACACTCCAGTTAATGTATTATTAATTAATGTCAAGTTTTTAATGTAAAATTCAAAATCAGGAATCAAGAGTTATTGGAGAACCAATGAATTAAAGCAAATGGGAGTCCAGACCTTCCTATAGTAACACATATTCAGCTTCACAAATGAATTAAGAAACAAAAGGAGCTCATGGTCTAAATGCGCCTGCCCTGCAGCCGGTGTGCTTTAATGCTAAATCATAATAAATCAAAGCAAACGGTAAGTTTGAAGTTAAATGGACCCTAAGTGGCAATACGGATTCTCAAGGAGATGGGCAGGGTCTTAGAAGAGAACTTGTATCAATGTTAATGTGCATAGAGCTGCCGAAGTGCCAAGCATTAAAAGAAAGAAGAAATGCTTTGAAACACTCTGAATTATTTATCTGAGAAAAAAAATCAAAGTAAAAGATAACAGAACCATGCCTTCAACACGCTGGCTATCTAAGAGGTATTTTATATTCTCTTCTTTCCGAATGCTGTTTTTTAAGCCCATTAGAACTTGGAGTTATAGCATGACTAACACTCGCGCCTTTCTTTTTGTTCCTCACACTAAGCTTCAAAACTGAAAGAAAAATTGTAAATAAGAGTTTCTCAAAGGTTGTATTATGAGTAAAACCTATCACATTCCATCTACTCATCTGACAAGGAGAGCAAGAAAAAGTAAAGAATCTAAAATAAACCACTTAGAATCCCAAAGGCTGACTAACTATGATGCATGCTTTAAAATACTGCTTATAGTATATCTTGTCCTAAAAATACCTCAAAGTGATTTAAGAGATTTATGAGATATATAATAAAGCAAGGAAAGTAGAACTGTTAGTTTAGTGACAAGAAAATGAATTTGAAGTAATAGTACAACTTGTCCAAGCAATATTTATCGATAGAGGTTTTTTTTTTTTTTTTTTTTAACTAGCTTCATCTTGTTTGGTTTTCAAGTCTATTTTCTTCCTGCAACTACCCTCCTCACAATGTGCAGTTATTTGTAAGAGTAGCAGCACACATTTTGAATTAACCTGTTTTCAGCTAAATTGTAGATAGCTGTAAAATGATGTCATGAATTACTGGCAGCTGAAAACAATGAACTTTCAGTGCGTTAATCCACAATCCAGCAAAATGCACTTCCAAATGTGTGCAATCTAATTGACAGCAAAGAAGATTTTTCATTAAGAATCAGTTTTCTTTTTGAAAACAAAGTCTCTTGTTTTTAATGGCTTCCATTAACTCTTACATTACTTTATCCTATAATTACAATGCATAAAGTCCTGTGAAATCTGTCTACCAGATAGCCACTTCTGGAAAATTTGCCATCTAGTTGCCTGAGGAATGATACTATTTATCTAAAGTGAAGCCCTTTTATTTTGCCAAATTCAAAAGTGGGCATATTAAAGACACTGGGCCCTATAATGTTTGCGTGAATAAAATATAATGCATAATTTTGTAGAAAGAGAAAAATACAGCAAGACATTTGGTTTTAGGGTCTTAACTGAACACTGTGAGAGACAGAACCAAGCCTATCCTTTGCTTTTCCTATAAGACCTGAAATGGAATCAGCACACTGTATCTGTATATTCTAAATGTTTAGATTTTTAAATCAAATTAAAATAAAAGATTATTGTCGAAGATGACATGAGAGTATTTAAGTCAGGCTGACCTTTGAAAGACAGTGGGGCTCTTGCAATACTGACCCCACTCTCTCACCTGATTAAGACTCTGATGACTTGATAAATGTAAAAATCTTAGAAATATACCTCAAATCTTATCACTTATAAAATTATTCCTGACCTGAGTTGTTTATGGTTTTCTTATCCCTACGGCATTTAACCTTGGGTCATCTCATTGAGAAATATGTGGAAATTAATAGTTATTAAGTACCACAAAAGCATATGCTGGCCATTGCAGATACACAGTAAGTATAAGTGAAGGAGCAAATTACGCTGCTTTCTAATCATCTGATGTAAGCACAGCTCTACTTGTGAATCCAGAGGTGTCATGCTTATGAAACCCACCTACCCTCTATATTAGCCAAATATAGTGTTCATATACTAACTATAAAAATGCCTTAGAGGTAACATATACAGAAAAACCACCCACCTGGAATGTATCAAACTTAGCTCCGGCTCTGCCAATAAATAACCTAGAGATCTTTGGATAGCTGCCTAAACTCACTCAGCCCTGATTTCCTTGTGTTTAGATGATCTCTAAACTACTAAGAGTTCTAAAAAGAGACCTTTCTGTCAGTATTCCCTTATTATATTTCAGAATTACAACCATGAAATCATGGAATTTGGAGCAAAACATATTTCAGAAATATTGCTGGGGTGGAAAAAGAAATTATTTTGACATTTGTGTTGATTTGTGGAAGCCCTCTACAGAGCAGGAGCATGAGTTTATCATCTCACAGGACATATTTAAAATGAAAGGAACACGATCAATAATCACAGTAAGAAAAGAGGCATAGACGAGGACTGACCAGGGCAAGCAAAAAACGTGTAGTCGTTCTATCTTTCCTTTCTTGAGAAGTCAAAGTGTTGTTTTAGATCCCAGAATTTTCATTTATATTAAAATCAATGTCTCCATTTTACCACCACATTATCTTCAGAAAAGAAGTGTCTAGTAGACATCAAAAGTTTAACTGGATTAGCCTTCAAATAAATTTTAAAAAGCTGACTCAAAGGCTACTTTATTCTATAAATTATTTCTCTGAATAGAACAATAGGAAACTTTATTTTCTTCTGCTTAAGTGCACTATAGAAAGCTTCTGCGCTGCATACATGCATCTGGAAAACTGTCCACAGTGCTTGTGTGTCCCTTTAATCTTGAGCAAAGGTGTGGAGCTAAGCATGGTAGAGAAGAGGGATTCCCGAAAGAAAGGTACCCCTCACCCAGTGTGAGCCCAGGCAGCCGCCCACTTACTTGAATCCCTTTGGTGTCAGGATGCACTTGGAGTCATGCTGGCAGGGATTCAGGTCCTGGGCACAGAAGTCCAGTTTCTCCTCACACAACTCGCCTGCAACGTGGCAAACAGTATTAGTTTACACAGAAAGACTAGTAAGCTTCCTGTCAGAGGTCTGCATCATGAGTCTTTGAGGTTAGTGCAGCTCACAATGGAAAGCAAAATGGGGGAAAATAACAAAACAAAGCTCTCCTCAATAGATAAAACAAAAACAAAACCCACAAATTATGAGGTCAGAAGATCCCATATCCAGTCTTGGTCCTGTTGCTAAGTACTTGCATGATCTGAGACGGTACAACTACAGTGAGGTATGATCCCCTTTTCAATATACTGTGGGAATTAGGTAAAGGAAATTCAAGTGCTTTTTCTTCTTGATTTACTTAATTATATGCTCATTTATTTGTAAAACTTTCATCAATATAGCACCAAAGAATAAAGCAACACCTAATGATGAGTTAGAAATTTGACCCACTTAGTTGAACAGCATCCACATCCTGAAGCACCCCTTTTATCAACATCCTGAAGCCTCATTTTATGCCTAGTTTGGTCACTCAGTTCTCATCTCCAAACACAAGGTGACCACTGTCTTGACAAGACCGTCGATGAGTTGTGTCTGTCTTTGGAGCCATTTGGCAGGTGTCCCTTTAAGTCTGACTCATGCTGTGAGTATCTGTGCAAAACATCCTCTAACCTTCAGAGTCTCCAAGTCTTACAAATCTAGAAAAACACTTGGCTCCCTTTTTATGAATCATTGCAATAGCTTCAAAGAATACTTCTTGGGCACATCCACTATGTCATAATAAAAAAAAGTGGAAGAAAATGTAGGGAGAGAATGCACACTGCTTCCCTGAGTGTTGGTTAAGTGGTGAAGAAAACTTTTGATCAACAACAACAAAAAAACTGCAAGCATAGCTACATAGATCCTAGGCACTCTACATTGAATCATGCCTGAAACACCCTTAGGAAATTTCTTCCAATATGAATAAAACAGCCACTGTTTCAGATATATGAGACCAAGTAGATTTTTCACTGAGAAGATTTCCCCAGTCATTTTGCAAGATAGATAGTAAGGTGACTGACTGGACAGGTATATTTTAAATTGTTCTTTTTTCCTTTTTTACCTTGTAAACTACTTCTAAATTATTTCATATGCAATAAATGAATAAAGTGACAGATCTACAGGCAGCCAGTTATTTCCAAGAAACTAGCAGAACTTTCACATGTTCAGTCTGAACTGAAGTGGTCCTGGCTTAAGAATCAGGAGTTCACAGCACAAGCTTTTGATGCAAGACTCTCCTGAAAAGTTAAAATACTATCAACAGATAGAAATAGCTATCAGCTGAATGAGGCATACTAGTTAGGTTTCTAGGCTGTTTCCCCATGATCTAAGTATATGAATGTATTCATTAGGCACTATAACAATCTGTTTTCTATCTTTTAAATGAACTAATTACATTGGAAATCTCATAATTGCTTCCATAAGGTTTTCCATAAGATGTCTCCAAAGTTGCATTACAAAAGTTTAAAGCAGTATGTACACAGTAAGCTATTTTTAAGTGGGATTTTTAAAAAGATTTACATTTTCAATGAATGACTTTGTATCAGAAACCCAGATAAGATTTATTCATTATAGTTTACCAGCCTACCATGATGAAATCATTGTTAATTACCTAATTAAATCCATTCAGCTGGACGACAGACTGTTTGAAGTAGGTTCTATCTAAGGCATTTTTAAAAATTTGCTGGTAGAGACCATTTTAGATACATAATTAACATTTTATGTAATTTTTACTTAACTTGAAAATAAGAAAACAAATTAAATGGTAAGAAAAGGGAAAAGTTTCATTGTTTTCACAATGGCCTAACCCAATCCAATCATACCAAAGTATGGCTTATAAAAAGTTCTCAACATTTACTATACGACATGGTGCTCCATGCTGAGGCTACAGGCGAGACTGTAATTGATACAATCCTCTCTCATCTCCCAATCTGTCAGCATAAAAAATTTTGAGCTAGACAGAATGCAGAGAATGAACATTATCTGTAAAAGAATCAGGCAGTTGCCTTTCTTCTTCATGAGGAATTTCTGCATAGATCCAATACGGAAAAGAGAAAGGAGATAATCCTAACAATCTGCTGACTAAACAAACTGGCAAATCTGTACTCCAGGGCTTTACAGTGGCACACCAACCTGAATGTGAAACACTTCATCCATGCCAAGTACCTATTCTTTTTCTCTGAAGAACAGCACAAGTATACTACTAGTCATTATTTCTAAGATTGTATGTGATGATTTTCTGTGGTCAATAAACAACTATACACCTGACTGTAAGATAGTCTGACAGTTAAAAAAATGATCTAACTTTTTTTTGCCATCATTAAGCATTATAATACTAACAAGCAGTATAACAGCACCCTCTTTGTTCTTTTAACACCAAACTCACTTCTAACCTCAGTCTCCCACACCGTCCTTTGTCGTCAGGGTCTATTCATCATTTTATCAATCATTCCAACTCCATGTCTGGGATAACGTCTTTTCCTTTGTCAATTTTCTCGTCTAGGGTTGGGCCTATCTTGTTATGTAATTAGATATAAAATAACTATTAATGAGCATTTATATAGTGCTTCCTACTGTGTGTGTTTTAAACCTTGTATAAATAGGCAGTCACTTAACATTCATGACAACCCTTTAGGTTAGGGTGGCTCTGTGCTGCTGATATGTAAGCACCTTGTATTATTGACATTAAACGTGATCCCTATGGGTATTAACTGAAATGTTGCCATATCCATTTTTCCTCCTCATAAAGTATGATATAATGACATCTTCAAACAATATTACCTGAAATAACTGGTCAAATAAATAGTTAAAAACTCCAGCTTGCCTATTTCTATTCCACTTGGGTTTCATTTTTGCTTTTAGATACTTTTCTGCTTTTAGTACTTGATAGGTTTGCAATATTAACAATAACATAGCCTATATTCTTTATTTTAAACATTAAATTTTCTCTGATAGAATAGTAATGTAAACTTTTTGACTAGGCCTAGCTCTTTAATTTTTTCTCAATTATATTTGATTCTGCTATATTTGAAGAAAGGGCAACTTTTAAAAGTTTAAGTGGTATGCTACAGTGGTGAGTCAGAGGCGCTCAATATTAGATAGGTGGCATAATAACCTCCCCTAGACAAGTACCAGCTGAATATCCACTTCTCAATCACTATAGGAAAATTGGCTATTTAAAATCGAATTGGTTTACCAGGAAAAACAGTGAGCTAACTGCAGTGAGCTAAGATACTCTCAGTTACTGCCATTGAAAAGTTACCCAAATCTTCATTATGCACATTTAAAAATCTTCTCTATATGTGTAGTCAGAGACAGTACTGAGTCCGTGGAAAAATGATGGGAAATAAAAGTGATGGATAATGGTTTTTTGATGGTCCAGAGGTTGAGCTAAAATCATCAGTGGATGTCTCCCTCCCTGAGATAATGAAGTGCAAAAAAGAAAGGCAAACACAGTCTTTATTGTCCTCTACTTAATGTTAATAGTTGGCTGCAATGCGAGCAGGTTCATACATGTTTAACTTACTATCAAAAGATGTTAGCCCACTTGTGCCAGTCAGGGCAGTTTGTCTAAATACAGGTTAAATTTCCTCTGCTCATGATGGTTTCAAGAGTTACAGGAGACTTGGATCCCATGAGCTAGCTCAAACTCAGCCCAAAATTCCATTTATTTGTTTTCCGCCTTGGACTCTTACATGTCCCCCAGTAGCAGAAGGAGAGCATGTGACACCATGACTGCCAGGGCTTTGCAATTTCACCTTTCTTTAGATTCACAAATTAACCTCCCTTATCGTACTGGTTTTCCAAAGTTAACTTCCAGTATAATCTCTGTGTGGAGGCAGTGAATATGGTAGCTACACGTGCATGTGTTGTTTGTGTTCTGGAGAAGAAACAGTGGTTAACCAGGTGGCTCACTGTTTCGTTTTAGGCAATGCGAGGTCCGTGCATGGTGCACCGGTACCTGAGGTAGCTGGCTGACAATCCCCAGACACCCAGAGCTTTCTAAAGATGGGTACCACGAATCTTTAGCTGAGGCACCTGTCTGGTAAGAAAACGATGCCTACTTCTTGGATCATTTCTTCTGATTCTATCTGTGAGATAAATATGGGACTGGAAATGGCTCACATTGTACAGCCAGAAGAGGGGGACATGGCAAGAGCAGAACCCATGGCCCTGTGAGGGATGATCTTTCAAAGGCTGCTGTAATTTATGACTCACTGAATACCTGTGAACCTGTCTTTATTTTCTGGAGAATCTAGTGCAGGGCCAATGTGATCATTCATCATGGCTTGCTCAGATCCATCTCTGTTAACTGTCAGGAGTATGCCACTGGAGTGACATGGTGCCCTAACCTGGATAAATGCCATGTCACCTTCTCAATGGGGAAGCAAAGCTTGGTCATCAGGGTTGGCTATGTTCTGCTTGGAGGGAAGAGGGTCACCACTGAAAAGCGATCTTAGCGGGAACGTGTCCTCAGTGAGAAGAGGTTCAGGTTGCCCTCTTACATCTTGAAAGGGTCTTCAACTGTAACCAACATCACAGAATGGACTGGTGGAAGTGAAATGAACCATTTTATTGTTTTGGGTCTCAGTTCTTCATTGATTAAAATGAGGGTGATTCACTGAGAATTTGTAAGGTTAACAGTGGCTTCTAAAATATCATTCTTAAGAAAAATGCTTCTAAAGAGATGGATAATGCAGATAGTAAGCTACAGGAGGGAATATAGAGCCTGGTTGTACAAAACAACATCATTTCATCCAGCACCAAACAGCATGAGGGCTGACAACAGTGTCATCATGTGCCCAGAGCCCCTGTGGTACCAATATTGCGAACATCACTGTGACAAAGCAGAAACCTCAATACATGTCCATGGCTCTTCTGAGAAACAGCACCTGGTGTGACCCTACCGCCTGCTTCATTTTAAATCTTTAAGCCTGCCTGCAGTGTTCTTTCTTCACAAGCACAGAGGAGTACTTTCTTCTGTACTTCTCTCCTA